CATTTATTGCCAGCAACCACGGAGGACTCCTGTCTCTCCAACCCGTGGCCCTAAGTTCAGGGGGAGCAGAGTTTTTAAGCTGAAAAACCACATCCTGGTTTCAGGGTGAGGGGATGCAGGGCAAGTAACTTTTCAGCACTTATTGATAAGCAGAAGCAAGCACTTTTCATAGAAGCCAAGGTCAGCAGTTATTGCAAAGAGAATGGGAAAGCCGTTACAACTTATTTTAAGAACAGCTTTGTCTTTTATAAAATGGCATTTCTCAGGTTCTAACTTTTAGGCTAGCCATGTTACAAAAGAAGCTGGCCAGAATTGGGAGATTCTTGGGATTAGGGCATTTTAACCACCTACTGTAGATTTCAGAAAGAACATAGATAACACTTTTTTTTTTTTTTTTTTTTAACTCTGGATGGGTGGGTGTTTGTGTGTGTTTGAGACAGTCTCACTCTTTTGCTAAGGCTGAGGCTGGAGTGCAGTGGTGTGATCTTGGCTCACTGCAACCTCCACTTCCCGAGTTCAAGTGATTCTCTTGCCTCAGCCTCCCAAGTCGCTGGGATTACAGGCACGAGCCACCACAGCCAACTAATTTATATATTTTTAGTAGAGATGTGGTTTGGCCATGTTGGCCAGCCTGGTCTTGAAGTCCATACCTCACATGACCTGCCCACCTTTTCCTCCCAAAGTGCTGGGATTACAGACTTGAGCCATTGTACCTGGCCTTTTTTTGTTTTTGTTCTTTATTTTTTTGTTTCGTGAGATGGATGCTTGTACTCCCCCACAGGCTGAAGCACAGTGGTGCTATCTGGGCTCACTGCAACCTCTTTCTCCTGGATTCAAGCAATTCTTGTGCCTCTCACCCTCCTGAGGAACTGAGACCACAGGCGTGTACGACCACGCCCAGCTAATTTTGGTATTTTTAGTAGACAGAGTTTCACAGTCCACCTGCCTTAGCCTCCCAAAGTGCTGGGATTTCAGGTTTTAGCCTCCATGCACACTTGATGTTTCTTTAACATAGGGGTCTGCAAAGAGTAACAGTATTTTAGAGTTTGTGGGCTGTAAGGTCTCTGTTACAACTGCACAACTATGCCATTGCTGCTGGAAAGCAGCCATAGGCAATTTGTAAATGAATGGGTGTGGCTGTGTTACAGTAAAACTGTTGACAAAAATAGGTGACCAACCATATTTGGCCAGTTATTCATGGTTTGCCTATTCTTATTTGTGAAATCCTTCTTTGTTACACCCCTTTATTTTCTATTTTGTTCTCCACCTGGAAAAAAATATTCCAGAATATACTTCTCATGCTGTGTTATTGCCGAATGATTATAATGTTTTTTTTTTTAATTGTTTGAGGCTTTTTCAGAATTTATCCAGAGAGAAGGAAATCTTCAGTGAGTTGAAATGACATCTAAAACTCAATAGGGCTTCTTTTTAATTGTTTGTATCTGTTCTGTAGCTTGAAAATCAGGTTATCTAGGTCATTGTTGTAGCTTAATAGTCACCAGATTAAGATTAGGTAGGCATAATCTTTATTTTTTTTTTATTTTATTTTGAGACTGAGTCTTGCTCTCTTGCCCAGGCTGGAGTGCAGTAATGCCATCTCAGCTCACTACAACCTCTGTCTCCCGAGTTCAAGCAATGCTCTGCCTTGGCCTCCTGAGTAGCTGGCAATACAGGTGCCTGCCACCATGCCTAGCTAATTTTTGTATTTTTAGTAGAGGTGGGGTTTCACCATCTTGGCCAGACTAGTTTTGAACTCCTGATCTCGTGATCCACCTGCTTCGGCCTCCCAAAGTGCTGGGATTACAGTGCCTGGCCAGTAGGCATACTCTTAATAAAAATAGTTTTTATTTAAAAAATTAAAACTTTATTTTTTGTTATTATTTCTAATAAAAATTTTGATAAAAATTGCTTAGTATTATACTTTAGCACAGGCGTCCCCAAACTTTTTACACAGGGTGCCAGTTCACTGTCCCTCAGATGGTTGGAGAGCCACCACATACTGTGCTCCTCTCACTGACCACCAGTGAAAGAGATGCCCCTTCCTGAAGTGTGGCAGGGGCCAGATAAATGGCCTCAGGGGGCCGCTCGCGGCCTGTAGTTTGGGGATGCCTGCTTTAGCACCTGGTGCTAAAGTAAAAAGATTACAAAAAAGTAATCTGCCTTTTATCCTGTCTTTAGGTCAGAGTTTAGGTTGTGGTTAATGTGGGGTTTTTTGACACAGCAGGATCTACCTCACTTCCATTTTAAAAAACCTAAAGTTTATTATTAATTTGGAGAGCAGTTGAATAGGAATCTTGGAGACCTGATATATTAAAACTTTCAGCATGTTTTGCAGCAGCTTTTTTTTTTTTTTTTAAGAGACAGAGTCTTACTCTGTTGCCCGGGCTGGAGTGCAGTGGTGCAGTCTCAGCTCACTGCAACCTTTGCCTCCTGGGTTCAAGCAGTTCTCTGCCTCAGCCTCCCAAATAGCTGGGATTACAGGCGTTCACCACCACACCTGGATAATTTTCATATTTTAGTAGACACAGGGTTTCACCATGTTAGCCAGGCTAGTCTTAAATTCCTGACCTCGTGATCTACCCGCCTCGGCCTCCCAAAGTGCTGGGATCGTAGGCGTAGGCCACTGTGTCTTTTTTTCTTTGTAGATCACAAAAAGGTAGCTCAAAATTTAAGATACGAAGATGTGGCTGGGTGTAGTCATGCATGTCTCTTGAACACAGGAGTTTAAGCCCAGCCTGAGCAACATGGCAAAACCTCGTTTTTACTAAATACACACACACACACACACACACACACACCCCACAAACTGGGTGTGGTGGCACACTCCTATAGACCCAGCTACTGTGGAGGCTAAGCTGGGAGGATCACCTAAGACTGTGATAATGCCACTGCACTGCAGCCTGGGCAACAGAGGAAACCCTGTCTTAAAAAAAAGGACATGAAGATTTATCTGAATTGTAGAGTGATGTCTAAAGTGATATAAGTATTCTTATTTACTAAAATAATTCACTTAATAACTATGCTTCACAAAAGAACATTGGCTTAGACAGTAGCTTTGAGAGAGAAGGGCCTCTGTGTTAGGCACATAACCATGATTTTTGTGCATATAGCTAATTAGTTTAATGGATTATTGAACAGATTATTTTGTTCTGCTATAAAATTTAATACATAGGATACTTAAGAAAAACAAAACTTATATTTTGTGTACCAGATTTTGGAACAGGAACTTAAAGTGTATTTAATGTTTTACAACCAAGCTGTCAAAACAGTTTTATTAATGTTCGACCCAAACGTAGAAAAGTAGTCTTTTTTTTTTTTTCAAATGAGGAAGTGGAGGTCTGGGCATTTGGCTTTCTTTTCATCCAAACTGGATGAAAAAGCTCATGAGACTTTAGCAGGGAATAGTCATGACATTATCAAGGAAATACATCTTGAAAGATTAATTATAGTTTGTCTGATCTTAGCATTGGATTAGAATAGTTTACAAAGAAACTTGGTATTAAAAAATGAATCTCCTGGGCGCAGTGGCTCACGCTTGTAATCCCAGTCCTTTGGGAGGCTGAGGCGGGTGGATCACAAGGTCAGGAGTTCAAGATCAGCCTGGCCGACATGGTGAAACCCCGTTTCTACTAAAAATACAAAAAATTAGCTGGTCATGGTGACGGGCACCTGTGATCCCAGCTACTCCAGAGGCTGAGGCAGAAGAATTGCTTGAGCTCAGGAGGCAGAGGTTGCAGTGAGCCGAAATCGTGCCACTGCACTATCAATACCAGAACAAACATAAGTGATAAAAAATGAATCTGTAGTCTTTACTAATACAGGTTCCCCCAGTATTGAGATTGAATTGGCATTATTATATAGTAGTCTAATTTATTTGAATGATGAATATTTGAGAGTGGCCAGTAACTATTAATGACAATATTTTGGGGGATAAAACTATAATTCATCAACACCACACTACTTTGGAAAGGTGGGTTATTTCATTGTGATCAGAATTTTCAGAAAATTGATAGAAAATTACAATCAAGATAGTTTGCTAATGTATTATAGTGTTATTGTTAAGAAGTATTAATATAGTTGAAGAAATTTTCCTTTTTTTATTTAAAAAAAAAAAAAAACCTAGGCATGGTGGCTCACACATGTAATCCCAGCACTTTGGGAGGCCTGAGATGGGAGGATCACTTGAGGCCAGGAGTTTGAGCCCAACCTGGTCAACATAGTGAGACCCCATCTCTATTATTTAACAAAAAAAAAAAAGAAAACCAAAAAAATACAATTTCGTGCAGAGTTCCCCGTATACCATCTAGCTTGTCCTTGTACTAACATCTTACATAACAATATATGATTGTCAAAACTAGGAAATTAGCATTGGTACAGTACTGTTAGCTAAACCACAGATTTTATTCGGTATTCTGTATTTGTCCCTGTTCTAGGATCCCATGTTCCATTTAGTTGACATGTCTCTTTAAGTCTCCTCCAGTCTGTGACAGTTCTTCATTATTTCCTTGTCTTTCATAACACTGACACTTAGAAAAATAATGGTCATTTTATATACTGTTCCTTAGTTGGGGTCTGATGATTTCTCATTATTAGATTGAAGTTACACATTTTGAGCAAGAAGTAGTATGGTATCATAGAAGTAGGTTGGGTATTTCTTGGTGCATCATATCAAGGGGTATAATATGTTGATAGGTCTTGTAACTGGTAATGACAACCATGATCACTTGGTTACAATGGTATCCTTAAGGTGGTTTCTGTACTTCAAAGTTAACTATTATTTTTCTTTATGTAATTAATACATTTCTTGGGGAAGATATGTTGGGATTATACAAATAACTTTTTCCTTAAACTTTTGTTCACTAATTTTAAAGAATCCATTGATCTTGCCTGCAACAAAAATTACTATGTTGTTTGCTTAATAAAGATTTTTTTTATTGGAGGGAGGGATTATTTTTAATGCTACTAAATTTTCTAGAGATTCTAATTAAGCAAGTAAAATCATGGGGGAAGGTAATTGTTACAAAGGATTCAGCTTTGAAAATGCAGGTTGAGAGTTGTGTGTACTTCTCTATATGCTGAGGGTTGAGTAGGAGGGTAAAAGTGAAGTAGATGAACTCCTAGCATTCCTTTTTAATACTGCCCACCTGAGAGAAATTTATATCCTAAAGACATCTCCTAAGTTTTAAATTTAAATTTTCTTTTTAGAGCTAACACATGAGTTTCTACAAATATTGGAGAAAATGCCTAGTAGGCTGAAGAAGATTCGAAAATGGAGGGTAAGAGAACTGACAGGCAGAATGTCAGTCTGTCATTTATATAACATGTACCTAGCTAACCATTTTGAATTGTTGTGATTAAATCATCTTTACAGTATTGCTGAATAATTCAGTGTATCTCAAGTTACATCTTACTCACATATTCAACTACAGAGTCCAGTGGACTTTGCTAAAAAGCATGTTATATTTTTAAAAACTTTTTTGCAGTGATTATGACGGAAATATCCTCTTAATTTTACCAATGGGGAAACTGAAGCCTAGACAAGTTAAATTACTTTCTCACATGCTAAGCTAGAATTTGACTTTTATCTAATTCTAAAGTTGGTGTTTTCAATTTTTTATAGTTTTCCTTCTATACCTCTAAATAAGGCATTTATTTACTGGTGACCTAAAACCATGAAACCCAAATCATTTTATTTCCGTATGTTAAATCTATAATGTTTTTAGTATATAACTTTTATAGGACAAGCAATTTGCATTAAATTATTTTGCTATATCACTGCTTCTTCTATGTTTTATTTTAATAGGCTAGTCAGGCAGCAACTAAGAAACCAAAAGTAGATGGGCAGGTATCAGAGACACCACTTCTTGGTTCATCTTTGGTCCAGAATTCCATTTTACTAGATAGTGTCACTGGTGTGCCTACAAACCCACGTTTTCAAAAACCATCTACATCAGCATTCCCTGCGCCAGTACCTCTAAATTCAGGAAATATTTCGTTCAAGACAGCCATACATCTGATAATTTGTCAGTGCTAGCAACAGGAATGCCAAGTACTTCATACAGTTTGTCATCACACCAGGAATGGCCTCAACATCAAGACTCAGCAAGGACAGAACAGATGTATTCACAGAAACAGGAGACATCTTTATCTGGTAGCCAGTACAACATCAACTTTCAGCAGGGACCTTCTGTATCACTGCATTCAGGATTACATCACAGACCTGACAAAATTTCAGATCATTCTTCTAAGCAAGAATATACTCATAAAGCAGGGAGCAGTAAACACCATGGGCCAATTTCTGCTACTCTGGGAATAATTCCTCAGAAAATGTCTTTAGATAAATATAGAGAAAAGCGTAAACTAGAAACTCTTGATCTTAATGTAAGGGATCATTATATAGCTGCCCAGGTAGAACAGCAGCACAAACAAGGGCAGTCACAGGCAGCCAGCAGCAGTTCTGTAACTTCTCCCATTAAAAAGAAAATATCCATCGCAAATACTGAAAAATACATGGCAGATAAAAAGGAAAAGAGTGGGTCACTGAAATTACGGATTCCAATACCACCCACTGATAAAAGCGCCAGTAAAGAAGAACAGAAAAAATAAAAGTTTCCTCTTCAGAAAGACACAGCTCTTCTGATGAAGGCAGTGGGAAGAGCAAGCATTCAAGCCCACATATTAGCAGAGACTATAAGGAGAAGCACAAGGAGCATCCCTTAAACCGCCACCACACCAGCAGTCACAAGCATTCCCACTCACATAGTGGCAGCAGCAGCGGTGGCAGTAAACACAGTGCCGATGGAATACCACCCACTGTTCTGAGGAGTCCTGTTGGCCTGAGCAGTGATGGCATTTCCTCTAGCTCCAGCTCTTCCAGGAAGAGGCTGCATGTCAATGATGCGTCTCACAACCACCACTCCAAAATGAGCAAAAGTTCCAAAAGTTCAGGTAGTTCATCTAGTTCTTCCTCCTCTGTTAAGCAGTATATATCCTCTCACAACTCTGTTTTTAACCATCCCTTACCCCCTCCTCCCCCTGTCACATACCAGGTGGGCTACGGACATCTCAGCACCCTCGTGAAACTGGACAAGAAGCCAGTGGAGACCAACGGTCCTGATGCCAATCACGAGTACAGTACAAGCAGCCAGCATATGGACTACAAAGACACATTCGACATGCTGGACTCGCTGTTAAGTGCCCAAGGAATGAACATGTAATAATTTGTTTAGGTCAATTTTTCTTTACTTTTTTAGTTTAAAAATTGTTAGAATGGAAAAATTCCTCCTGATCTAGCAGTGGCAACACCTGCCGTTGCTGCCACTGCTTCAATATTTGTAAGTGCTGCTTTATTCTTCATTCTGAAAAGAAGAGATTATAGTAAACAAGTCTTTATCTCCACATATGATAGTGTTATAAATACTGTAAAAGCATGGAAGGTGCAAAACTCAGTATTTCTACAATTGCAGCTAAGAACATTAGGATGAATGGCTGGCTGCTTCTAGGAATATAAGATGCCTCAAGCATTCGTTATTTATGATTTGAATATTGTAGCTATTTTTCGTTGTTGCTTGGCTTTTGAATGAGTGTAAATTGTTTTCTTTTGTGTATTTATACTTGTATGTATGATTTGCATGTTTCAATGATAAAGGGATAAAACAGTATGCTGACAACTGTTTACAAGATAGTGGAGAAAAATGTACATACATTTTTGTATGTTTAGATATTACCATAAACACTCAGGATTGGAGCTGCTTGTAAGTATAACAATATACAGAATAACTTTATTTTATCTTGTCAGAGTCCATCACTAATCTAAAACAAAGGTGGCACTTTTTTATGTTAACCTTAAACTCTAGGCCTTACTGGAAGCCACTGATAGGGGACACTTCACTATCAGATGCATATGCAGTGCCACATATGGTCATTTATACTGTGAGGCACTGAAATTTTGCCTTCAGAGGTTCTGACCAGATTGGCTGCTGAAATAGCCCCAAACTTTCTGAAGGCTTGAAGAGGAAAAATTAAAGTTTACATACTCTTGATGTGAAGTGCATTTAAATGTTTGTTGGCTTGTTGCAGTTCTATGAAACAGAGCTGTTAATAATGGTTATATGGATTACTGTGATTTGAAAACAAAATTCACAATAACTTAACCTAGTAGAGATATAGTGAGTTGTTTCTTTTAAAGAATTTTACACTACATATTTTAACACTAAACAGGGATCACTTTTCCTTTAGCATTCAGAATGACACTATATTCTTAAATATACCCCTTCTGTGAAGTGTGTTTGTGTGTGATGCCATATTTCTTTTTCAGGTAAATGTAGTCTTCCTTATAAAACAAATTAAACCTATTCTCTCTCGATTCTTTTATGTTCTAACAATAAATAAAATAAAAAAGAAAAGATCACTGACTGTGCATTATACCTGTATTTATAGTTTATGGTTATCAGGAAGCTCTGTAAAAAAGAAAAGGTCAGCCTCCCAGGCAAACCACTAGCGGAGGTTTTACATTTGTTTGCACATCTCGGTATATTTCTGTTGAGGTAAAGTTTACAGGCTTGAGCCTCCGTGCCTGACTTCTGATCAAACATTAGATTTGTCATATGACTTCTGATCAAACATTAGATTTTAAAACTTGTTTAGATTTTGTCTTAAACACCAGTAATACAGCTCTTGTTTATCAGCTAATCTTGAATTTATTCTGTGGTAAATCTTTGAGTTGTTGCATACATTTGAGATAGGTTGGATTCAACCTCTGTTGAACTGAAAACTTAATTTCTTCTCTGTATGAATTATTTTTGTTACAAAGCCACTAATATGTGCACAATTGTAATTTTACTCAAGTATGTTGCTGTTGTAAATATTAGAGTTTAATCTTGTGCCCTACCTTTATTTAGCAATTACCTAATTTGCCAGTAGCTTTATAATTTTTAAAAATAATTGTTCATTATTTTGTCAATGTTATTTGAACTTGAACTTGAGGTACTTAGGAGCCTCTTTGTGTAGGGACTGTGCCTAGGTAGCATGTCCTAACATTTGTTCTTGTCTTGCATAACTTTGGTAATCTTTTTTTTTTTTTTTTTTTTTTTTTTTGAAACGGAGTTTCGCTCTTGTTACCCAGGCTGGAGTGCAATGGCGCGATCTCGGCTCACCGCAACCTCCGCCTCCTGGGCTCAGGCAATTCTCCTGCCTCAGCCTCCTGAGTAGCTGGGATTACAGACACGCGCCACCATGCCCAGCTAGTTTTTTGTATTTTTTAGTAGAGACGGGGTTTCACCATGTTGACCAGGATGGTCTTGATCTCTCAACCTCGTGATCCACCGCCTCGGCCTCCCAAAGTGCTGGGATTACAGGCTTGAGCCACCGCGCCCGGCCAACTTTGGTAATCTTTGTCATTATATGTAACTTCGTTGCTCTGTATGGCAAAATATTGTATCCATAAACATGGCAATTTTGATACAGTTATACTTTTACAGTGGTACATAATCCAAGGACTAGTGTAGAATTAAGCCGAGTGCAAGATGAGGGAGGGAAGGGTTTTCTTGGTAATTTAGATGTGAAACCTCTACAGAGCTATCATGTAAAAACTACGTAAGGTGGTTGTGCTACTGTATAATTGGGGGGTGATAATACCAGGAATTTTAATAAGATTTTGTAAAGACTCTCCAGAAAAGTAGTGAACTTATTTTCAGTAGACATAGAAAACAATGTCAATATTTAAGGTCTGTGACTATAGTTAAACTTCACTAAGAATTTGCAGAATTGTTTTGAGATGTGGGAATAAAGGTAATTTTGTTGAATCTTCATTGGTGCTAATGATGGACAGTTAAAAAGATAGCTAGTGTATATCGTTATGGGTCAGTACTTATTAGTACTTCCAAAATTGAATTTGAAATGCTATGTATTCACTTTTCACTCTGTAAATGTAATTCTTTACAATGACTTTATTTATTAAAGGGCAGCCAGTTGTCATTTTTACAGGATTGTGTGAGCTATTCAAACTCTTTAACCCCTGAACAGGATATTAAGCTTCCAAAATAATGATGGAGATAAATATGGAAATACATTTTAAGTTTGATTTCCATTAAACAAAAACTCCTATAATTCATACTATCATGGATTTGCTTTGTCCATCTTATTTGCATACAGTTCATCTGCCTGGTCCCATTAGGCTCTACCAAAGAAAAAGACTCTGATGAATGGACATTATTACTGGGAGTCTTCTTATAAGTGGCCATAAATAAACCAAAGTAGTATCATCAAATTTAGGTATGAAATTCCACATGTGCAAAGTACTGTTAAAGTGATAACATTTTTGATGAGATTTAAAGAAAAAGACATTTGAAATATTAAAAAGCATTATCTTTAAACGTCCTATAAAAGAGTGAGTCATTTTTAAGTTGTGTTTTCCCTAGATCACAGATGTTACCTTTACACAAAAGCACATTGCAAAGGCTTTACTTCTACCTCTTCCAGCTAGTTTTCCAGTATTGAGCTGTGCCCCCCTAAATATTTGCCTTAGCTATTTTAAAATATGGTATTTTCAGACCAAAGCAAAGGGGTGTTTGTTCACTGAAACATTAATCTTAAAGGCCTACTTAACAAAACAGGCAGTAGCATCCTTTAGTGGTGAAACCTGTTTCTTAGTTGCAGGTATGTAAATACCAAAAAAAGTCCTGTTGTCAACCCTGGGTTTATCTTTGAAAGCAGTTCAGTGTGCATCTTCGTCTTCCTCTATGTGTGCTGATTTGCCCTGGTTAAGGTTCTTAGAGTCACCTAAAGGAAATTTCTAACATAATGTATGGTTTCTTTAATGAGTGGCTGCTTATATTACTTTGTAGTAACAGATTGTATTATGTAGAATACCTAACTTTTTTGGCCTATCCTCTTTGAACTAGAAAAGACTAATTGAGGTCTGTTTCTGAGAACCAATATGAAATGTTTTCAGTAGCATCAGATACCCTTGCCTTAAAAGATTTCAAGCACATTTTCTTTTATATTTGAGAATTTAAATTGCTGACTTGTATTCCTTAAGCAACCTTAGAAATAAACCACTGCTTATATCTGCATGAATGTTATGCACTTCATGAGTACACTTAGTTGATTAGATATTCCAGATTTTGCATCTACTGTAGACATGGGGACTTTTTTTTAACGTAACATCTTAGGAAGACAATTCTCTCACGATACTACACCAATTCCAATTTTTATCCAAATGAAAAGCATACTTGCTTAAATTGCTAAGTGATTTTTAGGATGTCTTTGCTGAGAATATTTGGAGGCTCTTGTTAGGAAGAATCATTGATTATTTCTCCTGATTTCTGCCTCAGAGACTCTGGGGAGGCAGTAGGATTCAATGACTACCCAGATGAGGGGTCAACAAATCTCACACTTGAATTAAACGAGTTCACAGGATAACAGGTGCTAATCTCATGTGACCTAAGATGGGCTTATGTAGACAGGGATTTCTGCATTGGAAAAGCAGCACATTCTCTGGCCTTGGATACCAAGCTGTGATACTAATGTCTTTAATTTGAGGATCACACGTTGATAATAACAAATAAGTGAGCCATCTAATTGCTGTAAGCTGACATATATGGAAGCCAAAATCAAAAGGTTTTTTAAGTTTCCCTGGAACATCTCTTTTTATTAAATCCTGCCAGTGGGACTGAAAAGCTCAAACTATTTTCAGCCTAATACTATACATTTGTTTTCTATTCTGCAGTGTCGATTTGGGAACAGCCAGTTTTTGACTCTACCCCACCTTCTTTCTATAATTTACTGTTTACCTATTCAACCTGAAAGATTCCTCAAGTAGGTTGATAAGCAAGATACCTCAAAGATTGAATGGCTAGGAGTAATTCTGTTCTCATATTGGCAACTTAACATTCACTGTGGAATCTATTAATCTCAAAATGTTGAAGGCCGTCTGATTTCCTTTATTTTCAGGTTTGGGGCAGAAACTCAAAACTCCCGAGCATTGCCACTTGAGGAGTTTGTTTGATATGATTTGCCTATTGCTTAATAAGGAGAACATTCTTATTAAGTGATGAGTACATTCTTATTTTTAATGCATTTTTTTTCAAGCAACTTCATTTTATTAGAAAACTTCCTATGTACTCATTTGTTGTAAACAGTGATTGTGGGGTTTCATTTTCTGAATGGACTCAAAACTCCCAACAACAATTGAATAGGATGTTTGCTAATAGAAAATCTGAAACAGGAATATGTGTATATGGCATGAATTAGTCATTGACTTTAATCTTATCTATACAAGGAACTAATAAAATTTGTTTATTCACAACATAAATCCAAGACTCTAACATGTCTTAAGTTAATGTGAATCAGAAGTAACTTTCAGGCGGGGTGCAGGGGCTCATACCTGTAATCCCAGCACTTTGGGAGGCTGAAGTGGATGGATCACCTGAGGTCAGGAGTTGGAGACTAGCCTGGCCAACATGGAGAAACCCTGTCTCTACTAAAAATACAAAAACAGCTGGGTGTGGTGGTGCGTTCAATCCCAGCTACTTGGGAAGCTGAGGCAGGAGAATCTCTTGAACCCAGGAGGCAGAGGTTGCAGTGAGCCTGAGATCATACCACTGTACTCTAGCCTGGGTGACAGAGCGAGACTTTCTCAACAACAAAATGGAATTAACTTTG